TTAGAGAAATTGTCACTTAATTTTTTATTATATAATTATAATAATTGTAATTACACAGAATTCGGATTTGTACTGATGTTTGTAATGTCATAAACCCATAAACCGTATGGTGGTATGGTCCACCATGATTTTATTCTTGGACCTGCCCCTCTACTACAACGTGGGCTTTTTAACCTTTTTGAAATAAATTTTTATAGAAATAGAAAGAAATTTTATTTTTTATTCGAAACTATCTAGTCATTATTATAAATGATCTATTACAAGAAGTACTGTATGTAGGTAGTAGAGGCTGACAAATTTTTAAATTCTCTTTAACCTAATTTGAATTTACCAATAATGCCATAATATACATTTTTTTAAATATTAAAATCACGTTATTTAGATATCAACTCTCCTCCTGCATTATATAGATTCAGAATAGTTCCACCAGACCCCTCTTCTGACGAAATAGAGACTATTGCGGAACCGAGAAAAAGCGGAACTGGAACAAATGCGGAACCAGATTTACGATAGTCTCATTTTATGATGTTATTACAAATAAAAAAGCGTAAAGGACATATACAGAACCCCAAAAAAGTCTTATTAATTGTTACAGAAAGTAAATAACAGCTATATGTATATGTACTATCTGTGTACAACACTATTCTACCTTTTTTAAATTTATGTCGTTTCCAGCATGCATCTTTTTTAGATTGGTTTCTTCTCTGACAATTCTATATTTTTTTCAGAGTACACAACATTTGTCAACTTTAAACCTGGACCTTACACAACACATGTGAAGGTTTTAGTTACCGCAAAAAAATGCAAAAATATTCTGCTTATTACGAGTTCCGCACTTGTCTATTTCTTTTATGATTGCCTGGAAAATAATTACAAAGTACAAACGTATGGTTCCGCATTTTAGCCAGTTCCGCTTTTTGTTGGTTCCGCAACTGTCTAGACCCCCCCCCCCTTCCAATTCTATACAATTACCACAAAACTTTTACGACAAACTTATTCAATTTCACATTTATAACTAATCAAGAAAGTTACACTAAAAAAAAAAAGAAGCGTTACATTTATGCGTTCTCATTGCAATTTCATTGTTGAAATTATCACATAGTTGTTTGCTTATTAACTGTATTCCCAGAGAAATAAACTCTGTTTATATGCTGTCGACGTTAAGATAATTTTAATAGTTATAGCATTTTCATTATTAAATAAACAATGAGAGTTTTTAAATTTAATTATGCTATTGTTTGAGCAAATTCACCTTTTGGTTAGACGTGTTTTATGAAGCAGTTGTGCTTACTAACTGTTCTAGTTGCATCATGTACCTGTAGGTAGGTACAATATCTGTAAAGCAAAATACTTATACGTAGAACAACTAATAAATGTAATTATAAACAAAAATGCTACGCATAGTAACATCGTGAAAATAGTATCTATTATGTAAAATACCCCCGGAGTTTTATGGTTTACGATAAAATAATAATTTCAATCCTTAATCCAACAAATTCATACTACATAATTAAATTGTTTATCTCTGTTAAATTACAAATTGCACAAGTAAAAATTTTCCATTTTACGTAGGTAGATATGTGCCGCACTATTATTTAACAGTATTATTAAACAGCTACACTATAGCGTTTTTGATGTAATTTAAGTAATTTATTTTATAAAACATCTAAATATATAGTGGAACTTGGTTATAACAACATCGGTTATAACGACAAGTTCGATACAACGTTGGTTATTAATAGTCTCGAAATTTACTATTCAAGTCAACGCTAAAAATCTGGGCAATGATGAGAACAAATTCCGATATAACGTCATGTTTAAATTGTTACAAATTCTTGAAACTATCGCATTATTGCCGATACTTTGGCCCCTTGGCACCTAGGTTGGAAGAATTATAAACCTGCATATTTGTAACTCTTGGTAAACTCCATTCGTTTGTGATGTGAGTAACTACACTCGGTTATTACGTTAGAATGTCGCCGATCCCTAAAGTAAGTAACACTATAACCAATTCTACTGGATATATCGTATATTTAACTCTCCCCCGTATGTACATGTTTTAAAAGAAATATATTATGTAATAACATGTTGTTTTATTAAACGTGTTGGTTGTTAAAATCAAAAACGCATTATGAGATTATTTGCAAGGGGGACCTCGAAATCTTTATTACCTAGGGGCCTGCATAGAATTAATTAATTGTACCTAGTAAACTACCCGTAATAAATGAAAAACATGTTGGTCAAATTACCTCCACCACTCTGGTAACAGAGATACGGAAACCTCCATACTGATCCTAAACCAACTGTATAACCGATGCAAGCCAGAACAAATTGTAGCTTATTTGACCAATGTTGTCGCCTGTTTGGCTTCAAATACAGGCTTTCTCCGTCTATTGACTGTCCATCCTGACTATTTTTTTCATAAACGTATTCATCCAACGGCCTATAATAAAAAGAAATTTATCTTAAAAAAAAAAAAACAGAAATTAGCCGAAAAATTAAAAGCATAATAAAATTGTGTACAGAAGATGTGCTAGGATTTCTTTTATGGGCAGGATTTTTTTTGTGGATAGAAAAAGTCAGAGTCAACCTTTTGTTTATTTACACTGAAAACGAAAAATTAGGAAATTTTGAAAGTTAAGCCCAAACAGAAGTTCTTCAAGAAAAATAAAGATGTAAATTGCCAAGTCAATTTTGTCATTTTAAAAACACGTAAAAACACTTTAAAGATAGCAGAAGTACTAGGTACGTAAGCAGTATTATATAATTCAAAACATTAATCGAATCGTAAATCATATGATACTTTTAATCTGTATAGGTATATCAAATAAAATTAACTGGGAGAACATATATTGCAGTATTGTTTATCAGCTTGATACTAAACTACACAGTCGTATACAAGTAAACCGAACATAGAAATTATATACTTGCTTAATTTGCTATTTCAAATGTAAAATGCAAAATAGTTTTCATTACACATTTATTTATCGGTTGTTTGTCTTTTTATGTCGCACTTGTAAAATACATAGTTTGGTAATTGTATGACATGTATTTTTTAATTTTAAATTTTCATATGCCACTGTTCCTGTTCAGTTCTCAACTCAATATTGGTGTATGTATTAAGGATATGATAGAATATTACAGAGACTGCGCTGAAAATATTGTTTTTTTTTTGTATAACTACAAAATAACAAATAAATAGGTAACATGCAATCATTTTAAAACATCCACCTACTATCAGGATATTAATTTTCTAGTTTGAATAATGAAATTAAATATACTGAAGTAAATATATTACGAAAATAATCCTTGATCTTAAATTTCAATATTGTTTTTCATTATTCTATATTAGTTTCAAAAATATGTATTAAGTATGCGTATTATTCGATCTATTTCGTAATGTTCGTGTTTATATATCCATATTATTACTATTGATACACAATTACCCATCACTTACTAACGATTAGAGATGTGCAAAATGGTTTTTTAAAGGTATTTAAATACAAAATGCAAATACTTTTTTGATTTGTTATTTCAAATGTAAAATACAAAATAGATTTCCCCTTTGTATTTCAAATGCTAAATGCAAAATACGTATTTTCAAAATACTTTTTTCAAATAAATATGTTTTTGTACTACCCATTTAAGTAATTTTCTACATTTACTTTTTTAAGAAAACAGGCATTTGGTCATTTTTTAAATATGGGAGTTTTTCTAAATTATTAAATAATTATGTTTGCTCTGTATCACCAGCTGCGATAATTAGGTATGATTCATATTTTTCTGTTTGAAGTGATTGAGATATAGTTTTTCTATCTTTATGTTATAGTTTCTTCAGTTCAGCAACAAATAATTCTTCTATATGCTTCCTTATTTGCCTTTAACACCCGTTTTAATTGAAAAAAAAAACGCTGATGCCAAAATAGTTTGTTTAACGTGGAAGATCACAGCAAGGATAGGGTTGCAAATAATTTTATTGATGTAAAATCAACATCAATCATTTTATATCGAAATATTTACAACCCCATTTGGTTTCTGACTTTTTACATATTGTAATAAAAGAAAGAAATGGAATCCATAATTTGGCGTTTATCAATTCGATATTGTTTTGCGAGCTGTTTTGTCGTAGTTCATAGAATTTCGTAGTTCCTTGCTAAAGGTACCATGACAATGAACCCGGAAAACAATATCGATTCAATATTACAGATTATCCATTTCCAAGGAGTTTAGAATTTTTTGGGCTCTCTTCAGTTAAAGAATTAGAAGGCATTCATGGAATGTCTCTTTATCTCATTTTTCAAAGGCCAATGTGAGCAACTTTTATTCATCATTTTATATAATGTTTGATCGGTGATACTAGCAAAACTTTTAACGGCCAAAACGTATTTTGCATTTTACAAATAGAAAATAGTTTGGAATTTTTTTTAAATAAAATACAAAATGCTTTGCTAATATTTTAAGTTCTTTCACACGTCACTGCTCTGTGTCGATTCTTATCACATCTTATAACACCCTGTATTATTGTTAATAGCTGTATTTATTAAATTGGCGAGTCAAATCAAATACTTAACTGATTACTGGCAATGTAAAAACATTTTTATAACTTCATTTGTAGAAAAATGTGTTTTTAATTAGTACCTAAATATTACATAATCTAATTTGGTTGATAGTGTGAATTTGATAATGGTCATAAATATTCCTTAACTTTGATATTCAATACTAAAAGAATAATGTGAAACTGAAATTTATAAATATATATACCAAGACCTTTGTCTAACTTTTCTCATCACCAAAAAAGAATTCTTTTCAGAAATCATATTACAATTATCTATTCATTTATTGTGATAAAGAAATATAAATAATTGTTAAATAGAATTAGAATTTTTCTGATTTATCCTTTTTGGATGATAAATAATCCTCCGCAAATTCAAAGGGACCTCTTTATCCTTATGTACCCAGGGCCTCGAATAGGTTAAAAACGGCCCTGATTGTATTAAAACTTTTAATTTGTTAAATCGATAACACTTTAAAAAACTTAATAAATTGCTTACCACTGAAAGTTATAAATATGGCTTTCGGGAATTGGAAATACATGACCTTTAATTTTGGGAGACCGCCTAATGTAAAAATCAGAACCTTTATCCATACTTCATGCGGCACTAGGACACATATTACCTCATTAAAATCTTGAAAGATACTAACAAGTGTTCTCCCCTCATACAACAAGTAAATAGGTGTTAATTTACGATGGTTAGCAAAAATTATATAACACACACTGGCGGTGTTTATAAAAATACTGATAAAAAGCAGCAGATTTTTGAATGTCAATTCACTTTATAATTCGCTGCGGTTCATAAGTTTGTAAAAAGTGACAGACAACCAACAATTATAAAAATAAACCCAAACAAGTTAATAATAATACACCCTAATAAACTTTCTAATTTTGTCAGTAATGTTCCTCAATTTCCACTGTTCCATTTTATTTGACCCCTATACTTATTTCAAATCGGTTGTTTCCCAATTAAAATTAAAAAAAAAAATTAATCTAACGCATCCTTGACTTATTTTATGTTAGCTGAGAATAAATGTTACGCTAATGGAGCTATAATTCAAAGTTCCAACAGGTAAACAAACTTTAAAAGTCAATTATGACGTCGCATATTATATTTTTAAGGTAATTTGCGAGAAAATATTTGTTTAACATCACAATTATGTAGCCATTAACTTAGGTAGACACAACTGTATTTGCTTATAGAATCAGTCCAAGTTAACTCTATTAGTAGATAATTTTTATTTAGGTGTAAGTAAGTGGGTAATTGTTTATTGTAAAATGGCAATGAGTGTGAAAGCGCTAGATAAGGGGAGTTTCGAAAACAAAAAAAATCGGTTGTCTGTAAAGTCGGTTTACTGACGATAGTTGAACGTGACAACGTCATAAGAAAATACTGATGGAATGGTTTCATTTTTCAAAAGAAAATTTTAATTTTATTTGTTTGATAGATATTTTGTATGGATATAGAGAAGGAGGTAAATGGAAATGTATTATTGTATAGCAGCTGTCCACGCGGACGCATCGCTCACTCAAGTAGGAGAGAGACAGATGCCGAACGCGGAGGCCGATTGTGCCTCTTTGTCGCTCGTTCCGCGCTCTCGCTTGCACTTCAAGCCTTAAATGGAACGCCTCAGAGCGAGGTAACGCCGCATGAGTCATGTTTTTTCGTGCGTGCAGCCGGCTCTATCGAATTATAAGACGTTGTCACGTCAAAAGACCATTTTCTGACGTTGTTCCATAAAAATTTACTACTTTAATTTTTGAGAAATAAAAAAGAAATAATTTTGGACCTTATTTTATAAAAAGAAGAAATTAAGACAAACCTTTGAACACCTTAACCTAACCGACACAATAAGTACATAATACATAATATATGAAACAATTTTTAATGTAAATTTGTTTTTCGTGGAAAAGCTTTACCCACTCTACTATTTTCTTCCCCTTCCGTACCCCCTATAACGCTGCAGGGCCTCAAAAATTGTTTTTTTTTTCTTTTCTCTTTTTAGCTTTCTGCATCTTCCCCCTGGGAAAGCTTTTATTATCCTGGGACAAGTTACTATAGTCAATCCTTAAAGAACTTTTCATTGAAATAGAAAGCATTGTCATTTAGAAAGACTAAAAGTCAAAACAAAATAAAATTTCGGGGGTTTATTAGAAACCAGAAACAAAATTACTAAAGTTTAATGCAAAAGGAATCACAAGACTATACTAATATCATATAGGAGCAATATTGATGCAAATTTAAATAGCTGGCGATCACATTGTTTAAATGGAATTGTCATAATAATAACAGGATCACTAAAATGGGCAAAAAAGGCTGTAAAAGACATTATTAGCATTTTCACATTATGCATCATTAAACTGTTACAGCACACGAACAGATAATGTCAGTTACTAACAACTTCTTCCCGTGTCCGTGCAGCCTTGATTGTGACCTTTCGTCTCATCACGGTTATAGTTAATTTATCTTCATAAATATCAAATTTGATCACAACTACTACGTTGTTGACGTTTTCCGGAATGACTGTTCTACGAACTGCATATCAAGAGCATTTTCCATATACAGAGCGATCCAAATATTTAAAAAACAAAAACAGTTTATGTTTTTCTTAAAATAGGTTTAAACATGATACGTATTTAGAACCAGTTGAAGGTCCAGGTGCAAACAAATCTAAAATATTAATAAGCAATTGGGCCTGCCCTTCATTTCATTCAGGTATGTCGCTAAAGGTGGGTCCGGGTACGCCAATTATTATGTTATTTACCTAAGAAAATGAAACGTGCCCGAAGGGGTGATGAAAAATAACATACATACTCTTACCAGAGGAGGAAATTAGCATGCGGTCTGAGACACTTTTTGCTTTTCCTGCCAAGTGCGTGATATGGGAATA